GTAAGATTTCAGGTAATTTATCAATTATATATATATATATATATATATATATATATATATATAACTGGCGGCCAGCTTGAATATCTGAGCTATCTGTTCCTGTCAACTAGATATTGTAACAAGTTATCTTTTCCCTGGTTTGTTTTAACAGATCATTATTCCAATTAATTACATAACCTATTCAGGTATGTGTGTGTGAAAAGTTGACAACATTTCGATATGCAAGTTACAAAAATGTACAATCGGAAACAACGTGATTGCTGGCAATATGAACTGCAAAAGATGAACATTATTCAGATGCCGATTTCTGTAATGCTAATATCTAACTGGCAATCGCTTAATATGTATCGTCAATATCAATCAAAAAATCAGAAATGAAAACTCGCTGAAATGCTTTGTGCTGAGAATTCTATATTGTAACAAAAAATATAATACTGGATAAAGATAATCATAATAAAAAATAAGTTAGGTCTTGTTCAGGGTTATGGATGCACATTACTGATGAGTTCTTAATCCGAATAAGATAAATACTTAGTATTCCTTTATTTTCAATGATTCTCTTATTCTCTAAAGTGAATGAATACTCATATCGTAAACACGTATCATAGACTAACAGTTTGACATAATCGATTAATGTTTAGTTCCGGTAAGTTTTATGTCATAATTCCGACTGGAGTCCCTCTGAGGCTACTGCCGGTCTCAACCCCAGATAAAGGAGGACGGTTGGGCATCAGGTTAACGACCCCATACCGTAGAAAACTAACTCGCTAAAAAACGCTAACCAGAAAAAACTATTCAAACCATTTAAACACTACCCTGGGAGTTAGGTCTTCATTTAGAAGAGTTATGACACCTCATGGTGAAATCCGAGTTCCTTCGGAAGTCACAAGTTTGATGCCCCTTCTGACAACCAGAGGAACCAGTTATTTAGGTACATGGATTGCTCGTACAATTTGGGAGATCGGAAGAGTCTTCCAAATCGCTGCAGAAGATTTATGTCATACAATGATAACTTCACGAATTCCTTTACAATAATCTCTCACTAACCTCAAATTATTAGCCATTTTATAACATATGTAATTATTAGTCAAGCCACCAATTTAAAGTCTGTCAATCTACCCGAGATTAATATTTTAATGTGTTCATTAATAGGATCTGGTTTATCCCTTAAAGTCATGTATCTTTTCAATTAGAACTTTTTAAAACCATCATCAGTAACATTTCTACCACTTAATAATTATCTCCAAGATTAAATCATAGCTAAATGTACTGAAATTTCGATATAAATATGCTGCTAACTATTTTGTTCAATGACATTTTGACTTGTAAATTTTTTTCGGGGGAGGAGAACTTCAGTAGGATACTGATTTTTTTCATTCTATTTTTTTCAATCTGTTTCAAAGTAATTAACTGCAATCTTATCTTCAGTAATATTTGACAATTTCAATTGAGTTTTTTTAATAATAATGATGAATTTGCTAAATTAGTGACAAGTTCTTCATCATAATGATATTTTAATAACCAGACCGATGTATAAACTTTCCTTCTGTAATTTATTTTCTTTTATTTCGTTTGAATGTCACAATGTACATAAATTGGATGAAAAATTTTGGATGCCGGCTCAGTGATCTGGTGGTTAAGTGCTCGCGCGCGAGAGTGATAGGTTCTGAGTTCGAATATTGCGAGGCGAGACAATGGATGTGTACCGCCGAGGAGTCTCACAGTAGGGCGAAACGGCCGTCCAGTGCTTCCAGGTTTTCCATGGTTGTCTAGCTTCAATTGACTCATTATCTCAACCATTAAAAATCTTGTCAAATATCTAAAACCTTTTTTTTAATATTCCATGTATTTAATTACTACTTGGTTGGTTGGAATTACTTAAAATTGTTATTTATATATACATAACTACGTATTGTTTTGAATATATGAGTTATGGCTTGTAATGGAATACAATACACATTTTACCCCATCTAGTATTCGTCAAATGGTCTAACCAAAATCACTGTGATGATATTTAAACTCTAACTAAGTACCTTTCACTTTAAACATTAACGTGTTATGCATTGAGCAAGTGAGTTCAAATGGATACCAACGTGTTTATATGGCAACAGAGACCTATCAATTGTAGTCGAGACTATCAATAACGAAAAATCAAAAGCCTTCAATAATAAAACAACGTGGTTTCGAATACCTCTTCTCTGCGTTTAATTATTTTATAACTTATAACTTACTTAATTAGACAGCGTGCTAAATGATTCCAAATTGTTCAATAAATAACATAGTTATTTTACTGATTACCATAAATATGTTTTGATTCAATGGACCTGGTTTTGAGAAAACGAAAAATACTACTCGTAAATTTCCCTAATCAGATTATAGTTATCTTATTGGTTAAAATGTTGTTTTTTGCTATATCTTACTAAATAAGCCAAGCATAGTTTTCAGTCATTTAAATAAGTAGTATTTTTTAATAAAATATTTTAAACTTCAGCATAAAGATTATATGCAATTACAGTTTTATAATTTTGCATTTTATCTATCAATTACAGTCAATATATTTGTTTACTTTTGAAGTAATCCACAAAAGTAACATTAGATATATTTTACTTAAATGTAAATGAGAAAACCCTAGTGAGGATTAAATTATGGGTAACTTCTGAGAACTAATAATGGACTAATATATATATATATATATATATATATATATATATATATATATATATATATATATATAAAATTCCAATTGCATAACTATTCAGTAACTAGATCATGTATATCTATATTCCTCTTATTATCCCGACCGTTGTTGCTATCTTGAAGTGGTGATCGGGCTTGCCTATCGTGATGAACCAGTTGAACTATACTGGCTAGAACAATTGTTCCTCAAGGTCCTACCATGTCAGACAGGCCGATTGAAGAGCGGTAAGACTAAAAGCAGCAAACCAAGGTCCGAAGGTAAAATTCTGCTGCTGACTGTACAGAGGTGTGACAGCAGTAAGGCGTTTCCTTCAAACAACCAGCATGACAGCGATGCTGCATTACCACAAAGACGAGTGAGGTTAGAAAAGGTTGACCCTAAAAATGCACACCTCGCCTTATCCCACGGATATCCGTTTCCGGCGGTAAGGTCTCAACAAGTACGGAGCTAACACAAAAATTACCCATAAAAAGGTCGTGTGTGACCGACCTCAAGCAGTTGACCCTTGGGCACTGCGGTCACGCTCTCAGGTCACTAAGACCACCTTTAGTCCAAGTTTCTCTTCAGTTACCTCCAGGAGAACCCTTCCACGGTGTGGGCAACCGGGAAGTGATAACGGCCCTCATACATATAACAACACTCAAGACTCCTGCATTCATAACCAACCTCCCTCTTCAATTTCTATTATTCCTGCTTTTATTATGAGCTTCATTTTGACCTATAAATTATTATTATGCGATTTACTGTTCTTAAGTTATGTCCAGTTAATTGATTACAGTCTCCTACGATCACAGCCACTTTTTCGTTTGATCTTATACAAATGTTATTTCTTATTTTATGGTGTGATGCGGTCTGTTTGGCTGGTATATAAATCAAGTATGTTTGAAATAGATTATTCGCCTAGTGGAAGCCGTTAATAGCGTTCTGGAACCAACTGGATGAGCTAGGTGAACAAAAGACTGATAAGGACACTAATCTGCTCATACCGGTCGAATGTTATTGTTTTAGCACAGTACCAAGGTTGAATAAATCACGTGATAACTAGCCAGGCTTCAAATGCACAACAAATTGACAACGGGGGTTTTGTGAAAAAGAATGCACAACAGATATTGCAATCTTCATTCATGTAAAACGAGAATACGTAAATGGTTTACCGTAAACGTTTTTAGTTTGATTTATAGGTAGAATGAAATCTAGAAATATACTATGCTATTTCGCAATTCATGTGTATAACATGGCTTTTGTCAACACCATTACAATGAGCAAATACATGCTGATGATATAATATGTAGTTCGACATAATTTGCTGAATGTCCCGTACCTATGTTTCATACTAACTGGTGCTAATCAAACAAACTTTTAAAGAACCTTCATAAAAGTGATGTTTCTCGTGGTATTTTTACTTAGAAGCATATTATAATTTGACCGATACAATTTATTCAAAACTAGGAATTAGACAAATATATTATTGGCTACTATATAGTAATGAATTAGCGCTCAGAGTTAATATTATGTAATACAAATAGTTCCCAAACTGGATCATCAAACAGTAGCTGAAATACATCAATTTAACCAGTATAGTTATTTTAAATGAATGATTTTGGAAACACTTTTAACGATTTCAATAGTAAAATAAGTAAATATCATTCTAATTTGTAATTTGGAAAACTCTACCAATAAACTCTTAGAATATATAATTATACCATAGAAATCTGTTTATTATAATTGTGTACAATGAATATAAAAATTGTTTACCTACATTTTTAATTGATTTCGTTTACTAACTTCAGACATTAAAACCTAATTAGAATTGCAAATGAGTAGAAAAATTAGATTTTCTAACGTTTCGTAAATTAATGTAAGCCACTTCTTCAGAGAATAAATAACCAAATCAAAATCTGATCAGAATATCTCATTTTTGTACTCATTGGGATATTACAAATATACTATTTATTTATTTATTTATTTATTTATAACAATGTACCCAATGCTTAATTTATTTGGAATTATCAAGTCAAACCTTGATAATGATACCTATAGAATTGCAAAGTTTTAAGTAATAAATTAAGAAATGATAAGTGATAGATCAACATTATGGTTTACAGTTTTGTGTAATTCATGTAAACTGTGTTATTTGTTTTGTTGACTAACTGAATAGGCTGTTTTAAAAAAAAGAAAAACTGCAATGAAGATGTCGTTACAAATTGTAGATTAAATTGTAAACAAGAATGATATAATTTACCATCATAATTTTAGACTAAACTTTTAATTATTTATTATAATTATATTTATTTTCACTTACCCATCTTAATAATTTCAATGATCGTGAACCACTTGAACGACAACGCATACCAGGTGGCCAAGAACAAGACTGCGTATTCACACAAACACCACGTTTAATCCATCTAGGCCAAAATAATGGTCCTAAATCTTCCCATATATATTCCATAGTACATGTTGCACGTTGTAATAACCAAGTTTTCATTATATTTACTTGATCAATAGTCATTTTAAGTGGATAAATTAAACCATCATTATTTATTGAACGAAAAACAGTGAAATTTAATTCATCTACAATATTTAATAAATAATTATCAGGTTTAGGAATATTTGGTAATAATGTTGAACGTGTACTTTTACTTTGTGAATTTAATGGATTTTCTATAGACATCCAATTAATTTGTAAATCAGATCCAAGTATTCGACGTAATTTACGTATTGATTCAATAGTAGAACTTGGACGTAAATGAAGTAATGCTTTACTATCTATACGTTCACCTAAAACACGTATATCAACTTTTTCAAATTCATGTGAATGTTCTGGTGGCCATGAACGATCATCATTAATAATAGAATGTTGTAAAATATTTGATGGTAAAATTAATGAATTTTTATTTAGATTATTATTAGATGGTTTAACAATAATTTGAGCTCTTTGATTAGAATCAATTAATAAATTAGATTGATTAGATAAATTTGATTTTTTATTGATTTTATATTCAATATTTTTATTAGATGATGATGATGATGATAATAATAATTGTGAAGAGGCTATAGCTTCAGCTTGTCGTGTTAATATATCACTTACTTTAACATTAATTTTACGTGAATAATCTGTATTATATAAATCATTATTTAATTTTTGTGTAATATATGCTTTATGTGATCCACCAGTTGTTATAATCGCATATTTTTTGGTAAATTTTGATGATTGAATTCATTTAATTGTTGAATTGTGTTACAAATTAGTAATAAAATTAAACAAATGTATAAAATGATGAAATTGAAGTTTGAATATTCAATAAATGATATAAAATAATGGACATATTTAGATTTTAATAAGAAAGTTGACATAAGAGTTAATTTTTTTTGTTTTTTTTTCTGTTTTGCTTGTTTCTCTCTTTTTTTTGAATAAAATATTATTGTTTAATATGAATTTAAACTTTGCGGTATATTTTTTGTTTGTTTATTACTATGTTGTATTACTTTGGTTTCTTATTATTCAAACTAGAAGTTGTTTTGTTTTGTTTACTTTTATAGTCTTTGTTATTTATCTATTCAACTGGTTGTGTTTAATTCAATGTTCAATTTTTATACAACACATTGGAATATACAAATACATTTCAATTATTCCATTATTCGAACATACATATATATAGTTGTATTGAGGCACAGAAATCACTTATTTAACGAAGTTCCTATGTTAGTTTATGTGTATAAATACATTTCAGTGTATGTTTAGACAGATTTGTTTTATCAGGTTGACTTTTAAATTGTCTAAAATAATCATGATTCGAAGTTTGTCTATAATGTGTTGGTCAGACGCTCACTTCATGTGTATGTACATGTATGTATGTATGTACATGTATGTATGTATGTTTATAACTAAAATGAATGATTATTATGACTAGAGGTCAGTAAGAATAAAATAATAATCTTTATTATTTCATCCATTTCATGTTGTAGATTTTGTCCGAGGTTATCACCAAGTCATTGGGTTTTTGTTTTGTTGTGCACATGTTCATATAGGTGAGTGAATGTATCAAGAGTATAATTTGATATCCTTTTTACAGCATATTACATAATTATCAGTAAAAGTGAAATGTTGTAATATAACACACTGTTTGAAGTAATTCAATATAAACATCCTTAGAAAAATATACCAATGAAAAATGAATGCAGTAAATGAATTATGTTTGTATAAACTTTGATTATTTAAATTAAATATAAAAAAAAAACGGTTCTATACGTAGATCATGTATAAATTTCAAAAGAAAAACAAAAATCTACATTAGGTTGTTTTAATTGAAAACAAAATAATATGCATGTGTAGTTGTTAAATGAAAATATACAGCAGAATACTTGAATACATTATTTATTTATTTATTTGAACACATAAATATTGATACAAAGGGGCACCGAATACATATGCACTAGATAAGTCACTTGATTTGTGTGTGGGCTATGATACTGCCTGGGTGCTGAAATCGAAACAGGTGGTTTCCTTAGCGAGCCACACTCGCAGCCTTTGACCTAAAGGTTTGATCCACAAGGCAGTGGATTAACCTATGGTAGCTGGTGAAAAACGATTGGTTCATCCGCCATTTGTCCCTTCAGGAGCATGTAGTCCATCTACACCAGTCGTTTGGAATCAGGGTATTCCAACTCCCCCATGGTGGATCCTCCATATCCACCAACTTGGTTAAAGTGTTGACCATTCGCTTTTCTTCCTCTCAATTTCGTAACCAACACCGCCGTCAGAAGGCAGTAAGTAGGACTTCCCTTACAGTGGCTGTATACGCGTGGCCATGTAAGAGCATTCCGAGAGGGAGAGCTGACTCTCCCCACCCTCTGCCGTAACAGGGCATTTAGGGGATTGAATACATAAACATGAATAAAAATCGTAAACGATATCCATTCTTATTATTACTCTGAAAGCTTTATACATATTTAGTTCAATTTTATTTAATTGATACGAACTTGAAACATGACTAAGGGAACATTGAACTTGATTGTTATTAATGTACTGACCATTCACTATTCAATTCTTTAGTTCGATACAATCAAGCAGATCAATTTAACCCATAGTGTCATTGAATGTTTTGGTTTTGGATAACGAATACCAGAATCGATTTTCTGAAAAGCTGTATAGGCAAACGTGAATATCCGAGACCATTTTTCAGATCAATTTAGTAAACTATTTTTGTTGGAAAAAATGTACAACAATTTTTAAGTTGAACGATTACATAATTATTATCAGAAGAGGGTTTTATAAAGACTTTTAGTAATTTAATAGTTAAATTCATGAGTCATTTGAAGCTAGACAACAATGGAGAACCTGGAAGCACTGGACGGTTATAGAATTATATAATTATCAGAGATCGTTAAACTCTAATGAATTATTTATATCACTAATTATTTTATAAATTATCTATTCAGAAATTACCATTGTGAGATATTTTTCATATTCGCTTTGATTATTCTCTTAATGTGCTAATTCCCTTCACTTCACATTTAAAGATATTAAAGGGAAACATATTTAAACATGGTAATTGTTGTCTTATTCTAACCTTTATTTCAATCTCTACAAGAAATCTCTTTAGCACAATTTTTTTCCTGATTAACTTGAGCAAACTGATGAGGACAATGAAGAGTTATATGTGTTTAATGCTGAAGGAATTGAAATCAGGAGTGTTTTGCAGCGTGATAAAGTTGTATCATCAAGTTACTTATGTACTCATTCCATTACCAAAAGCCAAGTTTTATATTTAAGTCTATAAACTGAAAACAAATAAAAGGTTAAGGAATTACATGACATGATTCATTCAAATCATAGTGTTATATGCTTGATTACATTGATATTCTGTGTTGAAGAATAAAAATGATGATATTCGTGATTAAACTGCTTAATCTTTACTCATCGAAATAACCTGTTGCAACTCTGATTCATTTACTTGTATATGATGCTGAAATTTGAGTATATCAAATTTGTACTTGCTGGGTTACATTAATAATAATAATAATAATAATAATACTTAGAAAAGCAATCTCTGATTTTTTACAGCTATCCATGAGAATAATTCACACCATATTTTAACAATAACTAAATAAACTATCAATATAAAATTAAAATAAATCACATTAGAATTATCGTGCATGGAGGACGGATGACAGATGCATTCCAAGTAAGGACCGAAGTCAGACAAGACTGCTCACTCTCTCCCTTCCTCTCTCTTATGGTAGTCGACTGGATTATGAAAACCTCGACATCTGAGGGAAAACACAGCATACAATTGACAACTCAGAACCAGTTAGACGATTTGGACATCTCAGATGACCTAGCTCTCCTATCGCATACACACGAACAAATGCAGATAAAGACAGTCAGTGTAGCAGCAGTCTATGCATCAGCAGGCCTCAACATACATAAGGAGAAAACTAAGGTCCTCAAATACAACACGGAGAACGCCAACCCAATCACTCTTGATGGCGAAACCCTGGAAGATGTAGAACCCATCACGTACCTGGAAAGCATCGTTGATGAACAAGAAGGAACAGATGCAGAAATAAAGTCGAGGATTGACAAAGCAAGGACAGCATTCCTACAATTAAAGAACATATGGAACTTAAAACAGCTTTCAACCAATACCAAAGTCACAATCTTCAATAAGAACGTCAAGACAGTTCTACTGTACTGAGCTGAGACTTGGAGAACTACTACAACCATCATCAAGAAGGTACAAGTATTCATAAACAATTGTCTACGCAAGATACTCAGCATACATTGGCCGGATACCATCAGCAACAGCTTTCTGTGGGAGAGGAAACTAGGAAAAGACGATGGAAATGGATAGGACATACATTAGGCAAATCATCAAACTGCATCACGAGGCAAGCCCTAACTCGGAATCCTGAAGGGCGAGTGAAAAGAGGAAGATCGAAGAACACAGCACACCGAGAATTGGAAAAGCACGTAAAAATAATGAATAACAACTGGAAACAACCGAAAATGATTTTCCAGGACAGATTTCGGTGGAGACTTCTGGTGGCTGACCTATGCTTCTCCACGAGGGGTAACAGACGTAAGTAAGTAATGTGCATGTCAACCAAACTGCTAGGAAATGATTTAGATATATAAACGTTTTTGGTAAACACTACTATAAAAACACATTAATAAACTGCATTTCACGTGGACACAAAAGTGACTAACTAATGGAAAATAACGTAATTCGAACCTAACAACCGAAAACAAATAGCTTAACAAAGTCGTTTATAAGAAAATTATAATATATAATCAAATTTTATCCATTTTTGTAACGTGCCAAGACTAAGTTTGTAAAATATACAAAAGGAGACACCCGAGTTGTCAAAAACTAACATTTGACTAGCCAGAAATCTGTCTAACTGTTTTCTTTAACTGTTGTGTGAGGTATGCAGACGAACTAAAACACTCAAATTACTAACTGATATATAAAAAATCTTGATGAAATATATTAACTTACATATAAATATTATTTTTAATTGATAGTTTCGCCATCGTGTATATCGAGACAAAATTAATTATACTTTATTCACAGCTGTAGAACATGAATTTTGAATGCAGAAGATATGCATAAACTGCAAATGTTTGACAAAAGATTCCAATTTAGTACTGATCAAATTTAACAAAGG